TCCCTGAAGTTTGATGTGTCACATTTCATGATCTTTTTGGTTTAAAACTGTTTTCTAACATCATTTGTGATTTCTTCTGTGACATTATAAGGGTTTGCATAACACATATATCATATGTTGCTGAAATTTTCAACTATTTGGGTAGGGGAGGTTATTCTTGTTGCTTGTTAATTTTACTTAGAACACAAATTATTTCAATGCTAAAATTTACCTGATACATGCTTTATTATCCAAATATAATAATATGATTATATATATATATATTTCTTTACTCATAGTTTCCAGTGTACTCAAAAAAAAATTGTACTCAATTTTTTTTGTTGAAAACCTGGTATCTTAGGCATAAGAAACTAGGCAGTCTTAATTAGATTGTTAAATACTTTCATTCTTCAGTGTATTTTTGACTTTTAGTAGTTACTCAGTGAACTGTGCTAAACCCCTTCTATGATTATGCACTTGTCTATTTCTTTTGTTGTTCTGTTGCATTTTGATTTATATGTTTTAAAAGGGTGTTTTCAGACACATGAAACCTAAATATTGCTATTTTTTCATAGATTTGATACTTCAGCATATTGAAATATTCCCTTTTATTCCTGGAAATGATTCTTGCCTTAATTCTATATCCTAATATAACAGACCAGTTTATATTGAGCTTGTATTCTTTTGGTGTACGTTTGCCCATTCTTCTTTCTAACAACTTTCTATACTCTTATAATTTAGGTATTCCTTATACAGACAGGAAAAAGTTTTGTCATGGTGTTTTTGCTTTACTTTATTTATTTATTTATTTATTTATTTATTTATTTATTGCAGAGTGAATATATTTATCAGAGCAAATTTACTCCCCATTTACCTGTAGTATAATTAATATCTTGCATTGATTGCATTCTGCTACCTTAGTATGCATTTTTCACTTTTCCAACACTTTTGCTTCTTTTTACCCCCTCTGGCTTTCTTTTAGATTGACTAATATTGTCTAATATTTGTGGTATTTTTCCCTGTGTTCATTTGGATGTCTTACACTTTTCACAGATGTGCTTCCCTTTGTCTAATGTTTAATAAGTAGTTACACTAGAGATGACAAGATGGGCTGAAGTTTTCACTTTACAGTGGTTCCCAGCATGTATTTTAGGGACTGTTGGAAGTTCTTCAATATTTTACCTGCAATGGCAAAATTATTTTCATATAACGTAGATGACATGTGTATTTTATCTCAGAAGTGTATTTTTTTTCCTAGAACCTTACTGATATTTGTTATCACCAGAAAATTGACTTGCACACATACCTAAGAAATTGTTTTCTATTGAAGCAAACATTAATGTAAACAATGCACTTATCTTGCTAATTATTCTGAGAATTTTTCCTCATAAACTATGTCATCTGCATTAGATATATGGTTTTATTGTTTTTTTATGGGAAAGCATATGCTTTAACTACTAGTTTTATTTTTTAATATGGCAAAGAGTAAAAAATATACCCACTTTGTTTTGAAAAAATCCTTATAACTCCCCATAGTTTAAGAATGTTAAGGGGTACTTACTCCAAAAACTTTCAATACTATTGACTTACTCTTCTATACTTTTTCACAAAGAAATTAATTTGGCAATTACCTTTTTATTGAAATACTTTCTTTAGAGATTTTAAAATTAATCCTTGACTACCCAAATATGTTGTTAAATGTTTAAATCATCTTCCAACACAGGTCAAGTAAATAAGATTAGCTTTACCAAAACTTCTTGAATATTTTGTTTTTGTCATAAGCAATGTTGTTATAATCAATAATAAATCAATGCAAAAATTATCAATCATTCAACTCCTTCTTCTCTCCTGCATTTTTTAAAAATCTCCCTCTTTAAAGAAACTACTATAATTATTATTTCACTGTTGATTTTCATTACTTTAACTCCACATAGTATAAATGTCTGAATTTTATTTTAAAAGATAATTTTGCTGTGTGTAGAAGTCTAAATTTGCTATCATTTTTCTTCTTCTTTTTTTCCAAACCAAACCGTATCCAGCTTTATTAAAGATACTTTTCATACATAATCATGGTATTTAAGGCAGAACATGGGTAGACAATTTTTAACATTATACAACAACATTCAAATTCTCTTCTTGGATGGACTATCAAAATCAGAAAGCCATTATAAAACCCAATGAAGTCTTCATTCAATGCTCTGAATAGTGAAAGTTTAGAATGAGGGTTGATATTTTATATTTTGCATGCTGTTTAACAACTTTTCACAAGCCCACCGTTTCAGGAAATGAAGTGAAAATGGCAAAAATTATTAATCTGAAATTTCACAATCTAGAAAATGAACTGCTGTTTTTCTGAGGGACACTATCTCAGTGATATCACTGCAAAGTCCAGATTCCCTGACACACTGACAAAACCATTTCTTGGGAGTCAGGTCCCAACAGGTCTGAGTTTAAGGGAGTTAAGTCTATACTGATGGCAGAGAGGGAGAGGAAGACCTAAAGATAAATTTGAGTTTTTCCATACCACAAGGTGTTTGTGCCAAGGTGCCAACATCTTGGGAGCCAAGACTAGAAAAACTAGCAGGGAAAAGTGTTTTGCCTACAGTAATCCAGCTTTGGAGACATTCTATTTATGATGTGTTTTAGGAGTGGAGTTGTTTGTATTCCAGGGCTGGAGTGTGTCTCAGTGGTAGAGCACTTGCCTGGCACATGTGAGGCCCTGGGTTCGATTCTCACTCTGCACCACATATAAAAAATAAATAAAATTTAAAAATCCATTGACAACTAAAAAATATTATCTTATCTTCTTGCACATAGCAAGCAAAATCAAGTTTAATGTCTATGACAGAAAATCTAATATCTGGAATTATTGGGTTCTGTTATAAATTTTGTTGTTCATACCTGACCTTTGCGATGTTTTATTTCTTTATATTCTTAGGGTCTTGGTCATATTCCTGGAAAGTTTTTATGAAAATATATTGAAACGTAATATACTACCAACATCCTGAGAAGAATTCAAATTCTTTAGTTGGGAGCTGGGAGGATAGAGCTAGGGTCATCACAAACCTCTGCAAATTTGACATTTTCTAGGTTATCTGAGTCCCTTGAAACTGGCCCTAGTCTTTTCAATGGTTTATGACTTCTACCTTAGTATTGTTGAAAGGATGCTAGCATTTAAATCTCAAATTAAAACATGGTGTGTTTGCTTAGACCTACAAGGCTGGAGAACCCTAGACTTTTAACAATTTACCTCTCAGCTCATGAGGTTGACTAAAGCAGCTTCATTTCTTATGTGATATTTCCATATTGAAAGTGCCAAAATGGCTAAAGTTGACCTCATGTGTGGATTCATGATTAATCTTTTTCAATCTTACTACTACTGGGAATTTTTCTCCTTATTTTAATTCATTACAAAATATCTAGCATTTTAAGCATAGTATTTTCCCCACTTTTCCAAACCAATTTTAGTTGGTGAGTTGTCTGAATCGCTTAATGCACAGGTACCAGAAATGGAAATTAATCATATCTTTCATGATGACTGTTAGTCTAACATATTAAAATATTAATTTAATTAATTAGTTTAGTCATTATTTTTCTTTATTGGATGGTCAGCTAGTAAGTTTACTCTTCTAAAATTCTGATGTTATCCCATAAGTATGCCTTATGCAAGTAATGCAAAATGCTGTGTAAGTAATACACAATAAATAATTATTGTACCTGGTTTTTATTATATTATTATGAACCATATGAATAGCTGAATTACAAAATAAATTTTAGAGCATGCATTAGAATTATTAGAAAACATAATAAAATTTAAAAGGTGAGGGGCTTGGACTAAATTCCTATTGTAACTGTAACAGGTTTTATTTCTTTTGTAAGCTATTTGGTTTATATCATAATTCCTTACTTTGTAAAGTAAGGGATTTTATATTTCAGAGCTTTATTATAACTCAGACTTATGTAACTAGAAAATCCAGTTGTTTTAGAGAGTAAATACAATGTAATGGAAAGAAGATGCAATCTATGAATAAACAAAAATTTTATTTCAGCTTTGTTGTAAGTCAGTTATCATTAGTAATACTGCATAACATACCATCCCAAAAGTAGGCAGGATAGAATAACTGATAGCTTGGTGTTATCCTCTAGGCTGGAGTTGGCTGGGCATGTTTCCACACTGTGTATTGGGCTCCGTTCTGACCTGCTGTTTTCTATCTTTTGTATGTATTTTTTGTTCTAATGAGAGAAGCACAATATACTAAGCTCAACTGTACATTTCTCAATTAATATCCTATTGATTATAACAGGTATTGTAACATAAAATGAAATTCTAGTGAGAAGAATAAACTCTACCAACCATCAAAACAAAGTGAATTATATGTGCTGGGAAGTACAACTTCCCATATAGAGTTGTGCTAAGAAAGACAAACAAAATGTCTTATGAACACATTGTCAGTAATGTAATATTTATTTAATAAATGTGTAGGTATTTGTTTGAGCCAATGACAATTCAATAATGGAAAGATAAAAATGATCAATATCATACCACTTTCTTTTGGAAACTGACCTACCTATGTTTAAGAGTTAGAGGTGAAGATTGATGTCAGTGCCATCTGAAATATGAACAATGCTAACACATTCTGTATCCATCTAAACTCAATGATTAGAATGAATCCCTCCCACAGGGCTCATGTGAAGCCTCCTTCTTGCAGTATTATGACACAGTATATCTCTGACTTTCCTCCTTGACTCACTTATTTTGAATTGAGAACTCATTTGCATACAGTAAAATGACACTAATTGTAAAACCAATGAATGAGCCAATGGACTCTTAGAAATAATTTTTTTTTTTAATTGTAGGAACTGGTAGAAAAGTGGAAAATATAATTCATGGCAGGTTGTCTTGAATAAATAAGCACTTGATAAGGGATGATATTATAAACTCATCAAAGGTTCACATTCTCTTATTTAAGGTGAATACAAAGAGCTCTTTGGACAGTCACTTGTATTTAATTTCCTTGTAGATTGTCTACATGGGCTGGTGTGAAGCACGGGAGCAGGACCCACTCCAAGACCGTGTGTACTCCCCAACTTTTCTAGCCCTGAGGGGCTCATGTCTGTACAAGTTTCCAGCACCTCCGGTAAGTGCTTTCATCCAAAATTATGGGTTCCCCAATCTTGCCACAACAGAGTGACATCATCTGAATGATACCAAGTAAAATACTACTGGTATATTTTGAAAATAAGATACAGGAAAGAATACAAACCAACCCAAAAGTTCCTGAAATAGCCTGCTAAGTATATACATTATTGCATTAAATATTAGTTTTCTAAACCCTGAAAAATTTGAAAGATGTCTCTGTTTACATATTAAATATGATACATAATGAATAAAATCCTAATGCTGATTAAAAAATCCCATAAAGCATCAATAACATTTTAAAATATATTTCCAAGCTATTTGACTGTATTTTGTTTATCAAACACACATTTAAAAAATTAATGTATTAAAAATGAATGAAAGTGAAGTGATTTTAAAGGTTCTTTATATATTAACCAACACTCATATTATTAATCTTGTATTCCCAAAGAGACTTCTAAAAAAGAGCCCATTTAATATACTTAGCATAAGCAAATAAGCACTTTATAAATGCAAAGGTAAACATTGTTACAGTCATGTAGGAGGAACACATTATCTATCAAAGCTGAGTCAGGGTTTTACTAACAATAAGTTTTCAATTTATTATTAACAAGTAAAAGTGGGCAAACCTCAGAATGGTCCAAGTCAGTGCTTAGTCTATCTCAACTTAGTGAAACTTCTGTAGTGTTAAAAGTTTAAGTTAGAATGTTTTGTCCTTGATAAAAATCAAAATACAAAAAAAAATCAAAATAAATTCTGGTGAGCTATCAGTTATGACTGTCAAAGTTTGTTTTTATAGATATTCCTAAATCAAATATATGGCATTTTTGATAATCTATATTCTATACTCTGGGATTTATACTAAATATGTGTGAATATCTATTGTATGGAATACCTATTGCTTTGGAAACATGTACTTTATAGAAAAAGAGACATTCAATAAATATTTATTGAATATAAATACTAAATGCCAGCCCAATTACTTTCAGATCAAATAATACAGAGTATCTGGGAATTCTCAAATGTGACATGCAAATATTTCGAATGTTTCTCCATGAAATTCAAAGTTCAGAAACACACACACAAACATTTATATTTTTGCTACCATCCTAACTGAATAATCTTATGATTAGACAGGCAAATCTATGTCAAACATAAATAAGCATATCAATTTCTTCTTAGTGCTGATGTTTTCATAGTATCCTAAGCCATCGTGAAAGAACCTCTAACATAAATCATGCCTTTTAAAAATTGAATTTGGTGATGGCAAACCAAGAAAAAAATTGTATATGTGTAATATAAATACTTAATGTAGAGAATATACACATTATTGATAAGATGAAAAACTTTGAGTAAATGGAAATTGTTGCATATAACATAAAAAGTTATTTGGAAAAGGAAGAGAGTAGTGATAAATCAAAATTATATAAGGAAACCTTCTGAAAACAACTTCCTAAATAGAGAGGCTAAAAGATCTGTGAAAGTTTCACTTATCATGGACCATTTTGTGCAAATTAAATAAAGAGGGAATAGAAGCTCTCTTTAAAAAAAAGTGACTTTTTTTTTCTCATATTTTAAAGGTGACTACCTGGGACTGGACTCGAGCAGAGAAAACATTCTCAGTTTATGAGATTATGTGCAAGGTTCTCAAGGTATGAGCAATAAGTAGTAGTTCTTTTAATGGTGCTTCCTCAGAAAATGGTGGTTCTGGTGCTCATAGTTACTTTCTGAAAATGAGCAATCCAGAGATATAAATGAAAGACAATATTGAGACAAAGAAAACAAAGTGTGTGTGTGTATGTATACAGAAAATATAGAAGGCAGAAAAATATACAGAGAATTATGCAGAATAACACACAATCATATATTGTACTTCCTCAGTTGGAGATGGAACAAAGAGATGCTTTGTAGCAGTCCATCCAGGAAAGGCAGAGAGTTGAATTAGCTGGGATCAAACCCAGGGCTTTGCACACGCTAGGCAAGAGCTCTGTCCTGGAGCTACACCAGCAGTTCATGCATAAATTTATTTTGAGACAGGGTCTTGCAACCTGCCCAGCTTGGCCTTGAACTTTCAATTCTCCTACAGTAACATCCTTCCCTTATAACTGGGATTGTAGTGTGCACCATTGTATTTTTTATGTTAGTATCTGACTAACTCTCTGAGTATCTGAAAAAGCTTACAGTTACCACAAATCAATTATGTTTTTATGTGAAATACAAGATTATTGCAATAATAGGTCTAAGAATTCTATAAAATTCCCAATGATTTCTGCAATTTTTGTGAGTTAAAATAGGAATAAATTAAAGAATAAAGAATTTCAGTTTCTTTATTTTTAGAAACTATTTTATTGGATATTTTTAAAGTCTATAACCTGACATAGGAGATGCACGTATGTATTGAAAAATTTACATCTATAATGTGGCTTAGCAATTTATTTAGGGTTTTGTACCAAGGTCAGCTAAAATCTACTCACTTATCATGATTCTGATATACATTATGATTTTATTAACTAGAGACCTAGATGCCGGAGTACGGCTGCAGCAAACTAGCGGGGGGTGACGAACAACTTGTGTACGTTGATACAGCAGGAGTGGAAGCCTTTTATTGCAGGACAGGAGCAGTATTTATACATTCCACACAGCTTATCTAATTAGCATAAACTAGATACATCAGTCAACCAATCAGGAATCTCCACACTTAAAGGCTTGCTTTTGTTACTTCTCAAACCACTCCCTCTGGCATTTTGCCAGGCACCATCCAGACTTGTTTACGAACTCTAACATTCCCCTGGCAAAATGCCAGGTGTTATTTTGACTTGTTTACAGACTCTAACACCTAGACTTGTCCACTCTATATATTTGCTACTTTGTATCCTCTGATTTATATATCCCCATTTATGCCTACTTCCTATCCTTGGTAAACACTATCTTGTTATCTATTTCTGCATATTTAAATCATTGTTTTGGGACTTTTTAATTTCAGATTCCACATATAAATTTGCTCATGAATTTTTTTGAGTCTGTCTTTCACTTAGCATAATATCCATTAAACTCATTGATGCTTTACCACACAGAACCTCATTTTTCAGAGGTAAATAACATTCCAGTTTAAAAATGTGCCAGTTTCTTTATCCATTTGTGTATCAACAGATTGTTGATACTTGAGTTTCTTCACATCTTGGGTGTTAATAAACATGGGAGTGAAGCTATCTTTATCAGATAGTGGTTATATTACTTTTAGTTATATGCACAAAGTGAGATTGATATGAGGTATTTCTAATTTTACTTTTTTTTTTTTGGATACCCATACTGTTCTACTTAATGACTGTACCAATCTCAATTGCCACCAGCTGTGTAAAGAGTGCCCTTTCTTCCATACCTCACTATTTGTTTTCTTTTGGCTATTTGATAATAGCCATCTTAATAGGTATGAAATGAACTTTTGTAGTTATTTTGATTTGCATGTTTCTGATCATTAATGATGTCGAGCACTATTTCATATATTTCTAGCTATTTTTATGGCTTTTCGTAGAAATGCCTATTTAAGTTTTTTCCCATTTTTTAAAATTTTATTTTTCTTTATTGACACTTGCTATTCATACATAATTATGAGGTATATAATGGTAATTCAATGCATGTCACAATGTGTAATAGTAAAATTAGGGTATTAAGCCTCTCCATGTCTTCAAACTGTAATTGTTTTTATGTGTTGAGACTTTTCCTTTCTTTGAGATATGTTAGGCTATTATGACCAATAATTGCCCTACTGTGCAACAGAAAACCAAAACTAATTTCTGCTCTCCAACTGTGTTTTGCTGCCCCTTGATTACATTCCTTCCATCCCTCTCAGCTTTGGCTTCTCAGTCTCTAGTGACCACTGTTCCATTCTTCTAAGGTAGACAGAATACATGGTTATTTGTCTTTCTGTGTCTGACTAATTTCACTTAGTGTAGGGGTCTACAGTGGCTTATTTTACCAATTTTTCCTTTTTTGTTTGTTTGTTTGTAATATTGACCTGTATGATTTCTTTACAAATGCTTCATATTAGCCCCTTCTTAGATACCTGCTATAGAAACATTCCTTCCCAATCTATAGCTTGCCATTTAATTTTGTTGATTGCTTCCTTTACTGTGGAGAAGCTTTAGTTTTTTGTGGTCCCCTTCATTGATTTTGACTTTTGTGGTCTGCATATTTGATGTAATATCTTTAAAAATCACCATGGCCAATATCCAGAAGTCTTCCCCTTATGTTCTCTTTTGTACATTTGATACTTTCTGGTCTTATATTTAGATATTTTATGCATTTGTGAGTTGAGCTCTGTGCATAGTATAAGAAAGGAACCAATTTTATTTATTGATTGATTTAGATGTGAGAATCCAATTTTCCTAGCACCATTTACTGGGTAAATCATCCTTGGCTCATTGTACCTTTTGTGTGCCCTTGTCAAACCTTAGTTGGCAATGTGTGTTTTTGGTCTTACTTCTGGTCTCTCTTTTCTGTTCCACTGGCTTACTTTTTTTTTTTTTTTTTTTTTTTTTTTGTACCAATACCGTATTATTTCAATGACAGTGGCTTTGTAATATAATTTAAAATCAAGGAGTGTGGTCTCTAACACTGATTTTGTTATCATAATTATTTAGATCATTTGGAATTTATTATTATTACATATAAAAGTTAAGATTATATTTCCTTTTAATGTGAAGAATGCTAACAGAAATTGATAAGGATTACATTGAATATGTATGTGGCCTTGTGTAGTATGAGTATTGAACAATATTAATTCTCATTCAGGAGTATTGAACATGTTTCCACTAATTTATCTTTTCTTCAATGTATTTAATTTCTGAGGAGTCTATTTCTTCACTTTCATTTTTTAATTTACTTATTTGAATCTTTTTTCATAGTTAGACTAATTAATTAAGGAGTTGACAGTTTGGATTGATTAATTGGATTGTTTCTTCCTATGAGTTTTATGTCCTCTATTTGGTTTATTTATATTCAAAATGTCATTATCTTCTTCTTTCAACTAATTTTGCATTTAGTTTGCTCTAATTATTTTAGTTTCTTGAAGCATAATAAATAACTATTTATTTAGGGTCTTCTTTTGAATAAAGGCATTTATTCCTATAAAATTAATCCTTATCATGGTTTTTGCTGCATCTCACAAGTTTGAGTATGCTATGCTTTCATTGTTATATGTCTCAAGATAATTTTCTGTTTTTCTTTTTATTTCTTCTTTGGCACATTGGATGTTCTTGGACATGTCATTTAGCGTCCTAATATTGGATAATTTCCCAAAGATTGTCCTGTTAGTATATCTGCTTTTATAGCATTTTGGTCTGACATGATTGCAGATATGATTTTTAATCCTTTTAAATTTGTTAAAGCATGTCTTATAGACTGGCATATGATTTATCTTGGGGAATGTTCCATGTGCATTGGTGGAAAAGGTGTGCTCTGTTGCTATTGGATGAAGACTTCTGCATATATTAAGTCCATTTGATCAAAAGGACAATTTGAATTCTGTATTTTCTTATTAATTTTCTATCTAGATATATCCATTATTCAATATAGTATGAATTATCCCTGGTATTATTATATTACTCTCTTTCTTTATGTCCATAGATGTTTGCTTTATGTATTCACAAGCTCCAATATTTGGTGCATTTATAATTGTTATGTCCACTTGATGAATTAAAAACTTTAATTAATGTATACTTAAATAGTGAACTTCTTTGTCTCATGTGATAACTTCACACGTGGAGTATATTTTGTCATATATAAATATAGCCACTTCTGCTCTCTTTTGGATACTATTTGCAAGGAATATATCCTTCTACTTTCTTCACTTTGTATTTATGTGTTCTTTTACAGGTTATGTCTATCTTTTACAGAAATATGTAATCATGTTTTTTTCTTAATCCATTCAGCCAATCATATCCTCTTCCATTATAAGATTTATTTGCATTTATGATTATTTTGATAGGTAATAATTTACTAGTTTACCCTTTCTTTGCCTCTCCTTTTTTCCTCTCTCGTGCGCCATGGTGATAATTTCCTTTATCTCTAAGCATGATTCCCCTTTATCATTTGTGTATCTGCTATTTTTGGCTTTGTGGTTACCATGAAGCTTATAAAAAACATCTGTCAGTTATAATCTACCACTTGAAGCTGAAAACAACAGCTTATTGCTTATAAAAACTCTGAACTCTTACACCACACACACAGTTTTTATTTTTATATTGTGAATTTGGTAATAACTAAGTGAAGTCTTGGTTATTTTCAACTCTTCCTTTTAATCTTTAAACTAGAATATGTATGATTTAAACATCACAGTTACAGTATTGGATTGTTCTGTATTTGACAGTCTATTTATTTCTATCAGTAAGTTTTATATTTTCATGTACATTAATAATAGTAATTATCAACCTTTCATTTTTACTTGAAGAAATCCTATAAGCATTTGTTGTAAGGCAGTGATGATTTCCTTCAGCTTTTGCTTGTTTGTGAAAGATTTTATTTCTCCTTCATTTTTGAAGAATTACCTTGCTTGCTACAGCTATCATTTTTGGCAAGTAGTTTTTTTCTTTTTTCTTTTTCTTTCAGCTCTTTAAATATATTATCCCATTGTCTGGTGGCCTAGGGGACCCCC